TAAAAAAGAGAATGCGTCGTAGATTATGTGCTACAGTCGAATATAAATGCCATTGCAAGAAAATAACCAGTCTTGATTATCCGCCGAAACACACACCATTTGGCGTTAAGAGCAAAATAGCTGTATTCATAAAATATGAATGAACAGCTGAAAAAACTGTGATTACTCCAGGGGTTCTCGAAAGGATAACCATGTCCAGACCTACTGTAGCAGACAATTTGCATAAAAGTTAAGTATTTTCTGTCTGACGTCAGCCGGTAAACAAAGCAGACAAGCATGTGATCGATGGACGAAAAGTCGAGTGACGCGATAGTGCATTTACTGATTCTGTTGAAACTAAAAGTTTGAAAGCATTTGTTTGTTGAACGCCGCACTGATTATGACGGCGGTCTCTAAATAATCTAGTCTGGACCAGACAATCCAGTGATTGAAATCATAAGCATCGATCTACGCAATTTGGATACGATGACATGCATCAACCAAGCCAGCGAGCCTATCCACCCGATCCCGCTAGTCGCCTCTAAAGATCAGCATGGTCGCCTTTTGCGGCAAGCAAGGGTCTTTGTATGTGATACATTGACAGGACAATGGAGTGATGGCACTGGAGGTTTATATAGAATTGTATTGATAGCTGATGTTGTCATGGATTCATACATACCACAGTTGAATCCCACCACCAGCCTCCCGACAATGATCATCTCATAGGACGCCGTCATTCGGCTGAAGTACAGCAGAGCCGCAGCGCCGCAGCGCCAATGCCTATGACGGCGTTAATCAAAGAGCCATTCTTTCTGAAATCAGAATTCAGAACCATTTCAGTAAAATTATCAGGGGTGGAGGTGGGTGTCGAAGGTGTGTATTTGTAAAGCACTCAAGACGCTAAAATATGGAATCGTGTCAAAGGTGTGACCAACGTGATTGAGAAGATGATGCATGACATAGGTCGCTCTCGTTGGCAGCTTCAAACATGCCCACAAGATTTGTGCTGTGCTGTACTGTGCTGTGGGGTGAGACGTCGCTTTCAAGACAATCGCACTTATATGTAACTACGTGCATGCACGATAACATCACAATAATACATTATGAGGAATGATCCCGTTATCAACTAAATTTACATACTAACTGAATGGTATCGCTTGGCGACATTGACAATACGACGTACATTTTTCTTGGTCACCACGTGAATTTAGATATTTGCATGGTTATTTTAATCACCGCCAGACTGCTCACAGTCCCTCTAACACACAACATCTTTGGTATGTTTAAGGTCCGCCATCTACACAGTGCTGCGTACAAAGAGTACGTCATCAAGTGTATGCAATATGCATGCAACGTCATGGTCAGTTGATGTCATGTACATTGTACGTCATCATCACTGTGCGCCGTCTACAGTGTACGTCATGTAGTGTATGCCATGTGCGTGAAACGTCATGTTCTGTTGGTGTCATGTACATTGTACGTCGACTTCACAGTGCGTCGTCATGTGTAGGGGATGTCATATACATATTACAGAGTACGTCATGTGCAATGTGTGTCGTACATATATTTTCATATACAGGTCATGTGAAGGGGACGTACTGTACATAGTACGTCATGTGCAAAGTATGTCATGAACAGGTCGTGTGAAGGGGGCGTCATTGGGAGGGTGCGCCATGAATAGGGATTGTTGTGTGGCGGGTAATCCATGCGCTTCGTCATGTGAAGTGTACATTGAATAAAAGGTATGCCACATTTAGATATATGTACGTATTGGGCTTGATAAGTTATCTACACGGTACGCCAAGTACACGTCATGTACAGGGTATATCGAGTACAGAGCAGGCCATGTGCACGTGGTATCATTGCAGGGGGGTAATATTCAGAGGAAACAATTCCGTAAACTCACCGGCCAAAGTAATCTGCCCACAGTCCGGCCAACAGACCCCCGACGGCGCCGCCGATGGCAAAGGCTGCAACCAGAACGGCGAACAGGTTGGTCTGAGTGTCCACGTCCATCTCTTGACTGTCACGTGATATAGCTGTGGCGTTCATGAACTCCTTGATCCTCTAAATAATAAATACAAAAACAAAACAGGTTTCACAAGGTGCTTATGTTGCCAAACAGGTGGACAAGGATAAGCAAATCAGCTGATAATTAGGTGAAACCTACATGCTGCGGACTGTCTGTAACACATGTGTTACCCGGGTCTGCAACTGTGAGTGCTTTCACTTTTATTCAAGGCATTTCCATCGTGACACATGCACGTAAAAACATGAAGAAACTTGTTCATTAAGTAGGGAACGAGTTTGCGTCCCGAGAGTCCCAGGAGAGTACGTGATGTGTATGGAATGTCATGTGCAGGGTACGTCACGTGCAGGTTACTTCATGTGCAGGGTGCTTCATGTGCAGAACACGTCATGTGAAGGGTACGTCATGTGCAGAATACGTCATTTGCAGAACACGTGATGTGCAGGCTACGTCATGTCCTGAATACGTCATGTGCAGAACACGTGATGTGCAGAAAACGTCATGTGCAGAACACGTCATGTGCAGGCTACGTGATGTGCAGAACACGCCATGTGCAGGCTACGTCATGTGAAGAGTATGTTATGTGCATGCTACTTCAAGCCAATGGTACGGCGTGTGCAGGTTACGTCTTGTCAAGGTTACGTCATGTGAAGGGTACGTCATGTGCGGGAGTTGCACAATGTGCAGGTTATGTAATGTACAGAATACGGCATATGCAGGCTACGTCATGTGCAGAACACGTCACGTGCAGAACACGTCATGTGCAGAACACGTCATGTGCAGAACACGCCATGTGCAGAACACGTCATGTGCAGAACACGCCATGTGCAGGCTACGTCATGTGCAGAATACGTCACGTGCAGATTACGTCACGTGCAGATTACGTCATGTGCAGGCTACGTCATTTGCAGAATACGTCATGTGCAGTGTACATAATGTGAAGGGTATTTTATGCCCATGGTACGGCATGTGCAGGCTACGTCATGTCGAGTTTACGGCATGTGCAGGGTACGAAGGTTTACCTACAGCTTCAGGAGCGTTGATGACACCAGTGTTGTAGCCAAACTGCAGTGATCCCATAGCGGCTCCACATATCGCCACTACCAGACGCAGGGTTGAACAGTGAAAAACACATTGTTCAATCAACAGTATGCCCACGGATAATCCAGACTGAGAGGATATGACAACCTGTAGTAGATACTAAAATAAGATAACATATAGTGATTATTAAACGATTATTAAACGATTATTAGCATGTGTGCCATACTGACTTTGTGAGACGAATTGTATTTCACATGCGAGTGTTATTATTTCTTCCTGGTTCATTATGTCCTAATCTTTCTGAGCTTCGACCCGTGAAGATTCCTGGGTAGAATAGGCCTTCAACAACCCATACTTGCCGTAAAAGGCGACTATGCTTGTCGTAAAAGGCGACTAACGGGATCGGTAGGTCAGGCTCGCTGACTTGGTTGATACATGTCATCGATCCCAATTGCGTGGGTCGATGCTCATGATGTCAATCACTGGATTGTCTGGTCCAGACTCGATTATTTTACAGACCGCCGTCACATAGCTGGAAGATTTGTTTTACAGCGTACGAGATATCAAGTTAAACAACATTATACAATTCACGGTATTACAGCAGTTAAGAGAACAATAAGCCCCCCCCACACACACACACACACACACACACGCGCGCGCGCGCACACACACACACGTACGCACGCAAGCACGAACGCACGCGCCAATAAATATATAAATAAAATAAAAGAGAGAAAGGATGGGGGAGGTTATCACGCGAGTGTGTTTGGGGATGGTAAATATCATAGTGTTTATTCCTAATAGAGGATATTTACTACCATCCACAAACACATAAGCGTGATAACCTCTTTATCATGTAATGCCATTCTTCAATTCTGAAAATTCTCTCGAAAATCTCTTTATCCTTCTTCACATTTTCGAAATGAGCACTGAGGGATCAAACATTCAAGTGAGCCACCTGGAATCCATCACCATGAATGTTCTCTACATGGTGTTCCAAGGTGAACAGTCTTTCATTCCGCAATCTAGTCATCTCATCCAATGCTTTTTTTTGTTTACTCCAATTTTGTGTTCATCAAAACCTACCAGTTTTAGGCCTTTCCTTGATTTGACCCTACTGGGCATTGTATACACTTGACCAGGGTGGGCTTTAAATTTACTTCCTTGTGTCATTGTCATGATCCCAATCATCTGTTCATTGGTGCTACCTTGTGATTTGTGGATTGTTGAGGCCCCATGCTAAAGTTCCTGGATACTGTTTTCTCGTTCAACCCTGACAGAATAGTGTACGGTTTTCAAGATCTGCTTCGGAAACAAGCTCTACCGCCATTTGCAGTCCAAGTCAAAGACGTTGCCATGGAAACTCGAAAACATTTTTTTTTTAAATCCCAAACTATCAAAAGGCACCAGTTTTCCACTAGACCTCTTTAGGTGCCAAGTTTGGTTTAAAAATATTGTATGGTTTTCAAGATCTGCTCCTAAAACGAGGACTACCGCCATTTTCAGTGAAAGTCAAAGTCGTTGCCATGGAAACTCGAAAACTATTTCTTTCAAAAATCCCAAAGTATCAAAAGGCACCAGATCACCACTAGACCTATCTATGTGCCAAGTTTGGTTAAGATATCTCTCATGGTTTTTGTGTTCTGCTCCGGGAACGAAATGTGACGAACAGACGGACGGCACCCATTCCTATATCCCCCTTCCACTTCGTGGCGGTGGATAATAAACAGACAACCAAGCTTCATATACTCATATCCTCCGCCAATGATATATTCTGCTGAATGCATTACTCAAACCCCTAACAAAGGTAAGTAAATAGAGCGTCAAATATGTACCCTCTTAATGTTGCATGCCTGGAAATAATGGAGCCCTATATCACAGGTTCCCGTCATACAGCTAAAATATTGTTGGGCGTGTCGACAAGCAACAATTAAACTAAAATAGAATGTTGACTCATAAGTCGACTCAACACAGTGCAGACGAGCTGATAAGCGCTGTACTACACGAAGCGGGGTGACGTTAGTCGTCTTTGACCTCGAGATTAGACTGACTGCTGCCTAACTAGCAAGGTAGGTGTATATTTTAAAAGAATACGATAAGGGACATTCTCGCGTTCTCCACCAGTCGAACAAGCTTAAAATGCCAAAAGTGCGAGAACACGATATATTTTCAAATTATCGTGTTCCCGAAAAGTTTTTGCTACAAAATGGTTTTTTTTATCAAAGGTACAGATTGCGACACAAGGATATAATGTAAAATAACATTGCGAGATTTTACATCATGTCCCAGTGTTGGGGGAAAGTTAGCAATGTTCGTAATCGGATCAGAGGACTGAAGATTTTTGGATGGTTTTCTTTCAATAAATTAAAGTTCAAGACAAATTAAGGTGAAATTCATTACACAAAATTTTGAGTTTATACATTCTTCAATACGGGGTCACGGGTGGCCCAGTCGTCTAAGGCGCCGCGATTCGCTGTGCAGAGTTGCGTCCCGTGGGCCCGCCAGAAACCTATGATTGTGGGTTCGAATCCCGGTCCGCCCCGATTATGTTTCTAGGTTTGTCAGCACCATACCCTTGCTCGTGGGTTTCACCGAAGTGGTAAACGTCTGAGACCTGCATCACTTCGGGCTTTCCTCCAACATTAAGCTGACACGCCGCGATATAACTGTAACTACTGTTAAAAGCGGCGTTAAACCCAACTCTCTCACTCACTCACTTCTTCAATACCATATTTACCAACATTTACCGTTATTAGCAATTCTCCTACTCTTAAAACCAAAATAAACATCTATATTCTCCACATGTGAGTGTAGACATCTCATTTACTCATGTTTTAGACGGTGGCCGTGCTCATGTGTAATAACATCAGGACAAGGTGCAAGTCTTATTGCACCCGAGGACATGCTTTTTTCTTGATCTTCCTTGTTCAAAGCAACATTAAATCATTTGTAACCAACTATTACCTTTTCCGTCTTTAGTCGTTGTCAAGCGAGCCGTGGCTCAATGAGTTGCACGAGCATGATTTACAGTGAATTTCGACACGCCATTAACCTTCTAAGCTTTAAGAAAGCCTTACCCGTATTGTAAATCAGAAGCGTGACATGCAAACAGTCCCTGGAGCTTTTTAATGTTCAAAGTGGGTCATATAGCCAATGTCAAGGTGACATTGTAATACATTTTACCATGAAGATGTAAGAAAATAGATGTAAAATTTCCGACTCTTATTGGAAAAATGAGAGGTTTCAAACCATGTTAAACAATTCTGATTGAAAAAGTACACGTCCGCATGATAGCGGTAGATACTATTTATAGAAAAACAGTTCTATTTAGAAATTATGACATATACAATTGATAATAGGTTAAAACTCCGTATTGAAAGTATGTGAGGCAATATATTTTGACCAGGGAACATTTCAAATAATAGCTTTGTTTGTTTGTTGTTTCACACCGAACTCAACAATATTACAGCTATATGACGGCGGTCTGTAAATAATCGAGTCTGGACCAGACAATCCAGTGATTGATATCATGAGCATCGATCCACGCAATTGGGACCGATGACATGCACCAACCAAGTCAGCGAGCCTGACCACCCGATCCCGTTAGTCGCCTCTTACTCCAAGCATAGTCGCCTTTTACGGCAAGTATGGGTTGCTGAAGACCTAATCTACCCCGCATCTTCACGGGTCTCAAACAATAGCGACGGAAGATACTGTGACGTCATATTTCCTGCTTCACAATGAGCTGTGTTTCATAATAATAGTGACGGGCGGTGTATAACTGAACTTTCCAAAGATGGCGTAATTTTCATGTGGGGTCCCTTAAAACAAGTTGGTATAAGAAGTAGCTGTGCTACACTCTTTCTGTTGTGTTTGCAAGTAAAGAATAATGGGAGTGAAGTAAAAATGAAAAGTAATGTTACAACACAGTGCTATACTTTGTTGGAAGAATATTGTCGATGAGTCCTTACTAGAGATCCACAAGCAACTCAGTCCATTGGACCCATGACACATCACTCACTACATTTGTCAACATAAAGGGTCATGGTAGATTAACATACCGGCATTGTGCTGTTTGTATAAAAAAAAGAAACGCAAAACCAGATTTGTGTGAGGTACGAAAATACATTTATACGAGGAACCGTACAAGGTATTGAGCCAAATTGTTGTGGAGAGAACGCTTGGTGATTGTAGTAATCTCAGTTATCGGTACATAGTAAAGTCCAAGGTGAAGGTCAGTCTACCCACAATAACGCGTATGTCCCCCTTTGGAATCGATAGCGGACTGACATCTCCTGCCCATGGAAGAGACGAGTATGTGAATCACACTCTTGGGAATTGTAGGTCAATTGGCCTGCAACGCAAAAGACAACTGCTGCAACATCTGGGGTTGTGGTTGACGTCGGGGTAGCCCTCAATCCAAGTCATCCCACAGATGCTCTATCGGGTTCAAATCCGGGGATCTGGCGGGCCAGGGGAGAACATCAACGTTGTTGTTGTGTAGACAGGCTCTTGTGATCCGTACCGTATGCGGTCGAGCGTTGTCCTGTTGGAATTCGCCGTTGCCGTTGGCTGCATTTGGGAGAACGTTTGGTAGGAGAATCTCGTTGATGTATCGTTGAGCCGTAAGGTTGCCTTGGATATGGACCAAGCCTTTCCTACCATGATTAGAGATAGCCACCAAGATCATAACGCTACCCCCACCAAACCTGTCCACTTCCTGTACGCAGTTTCCGGCGTAACGTTCTACCCCGACGTCTGCAGACCCGTGCTCTTCCATCCCCTCGACGGAGGAGAAATGAAGCCATACCCTATGTTGACGACACCAATGCAGTCGTTGTTGACGATGATGTCGACACAAAATGACGCGGCAAACGGGACGTCTTGCTGGAAGACCTGTTTCTCTTAAACGGTTTCGTACCGTCTGGTCGGAGATTCTGCGCAGTCCGGGTATTTGGGATGCGGTTGAGGTAGCTGTGTCCTTTCACGTAGGAGGCGCAGTCGGATGTAGTGATCTTAGGCCGGGGTGGTTACTCTTCGTCGTCCCGACTTTGGCCGATCACGTGTTTACCAATGCTGTTAAAACCGACCCCATAGCCGTGTGATGGTGCTGGGCGCTACATTGAAAACCCTTGCTACAGCCTCTGGCGTTATTTCTTTGCACTTCTGTTAATTGTGGCATGCTGTTAAACTGTCACTGTTCGATTGAGGCCGATGTCAGGCAATCAAAAACCCTGCACTTTAATTCCGTTAGCTCCATGGCCCTTTTGTTAATGCACTGTGTGCGTTTTTCAGAATCGTACGTGTTTCCCGACTAATTTGCATGTACTGGTTGTGATCATTTTTATCCGGGTAATTTGTCACTATCACTATAACACGTCAAACCTCTTCATTTTGCACCTCTGTGGCTGCTAATTTCGCTTTTATGGTCGAAAATACCCGCATTGCGTTTTTGTTAAAGGGTATAATATGTTTCTTTACGTGTGGGTATTTCCATTGCCGCCTACCATCGCCGGCACAGACTCGCTTGCAGTACAAGGTCTAAGTGGGTATGGCGCGGTCCGCCGGGTGTCGGTTATCCGAAATGAGGGTATCCCCGTCAATAAGTGCACTGTAACTAGGTCACTGATAATGTGCTTTCCCGTCCTGTTTTAACGTCTTTCTGCACAATGTCCAGGTATCAAGGAGGGCCTGTTATTTGTAATGTCCTTGAGTGTGACCACCCAATCACGTTATTCGCCTCTTACGATAACCATAGTCACCTCTCACAGCAAGCATGGGTTGCTGAAGACCTATTCTAACCTGGTTCTTCACCTTTTATTATATCTTGTGCAGCCATACTTATCACATATTGATGCCTTGAACAGTCAAACATGTTGAATGTTGATACCTTGAACAAGTGAGCTTTGTTTAACGTCGCACTTAGCAACAGACCCAGCTATATGGCGACGACCTGTAAATAATGGAGACGATCCAGTGATTGATATTGTGAACAACTAACCATTGCCGTCAGAGAACGATGACATGCCATCATCCAAGTCACCCAGCCTGACCACCCGGTCCAATTGGTAGCCTCTCACAGCCAGCATGGGTTGTTGGGGACAAATTTTAACCCGGAAATCTCAACGGGGTTAAATATGAATCATATGTATGTTCAATGTTAATACTTTGAACAACTATATACATGCAATCTTTCTGTCAAGTGGCTTTGCGAGCGAATGGCATCGGAGAAACATTAGAACTATACACTTTGTCTGCAGTTTTATAGTGTAAATCTACAGTTAATGACTGCCCTAAGTATATACCGACAGTTTCTTAGTTTGTAAGAAATCCTTTATTTTAACCACTGAACAAAAAGGGAAAACAGGTACCATGGTGTGAAGGGTAATTATCTTTGATTTATTAAAATGGTCTATTTAAATATGGAACAATGCCTACGAATGAAAGACGAAGACAATCAACTCACATTATAAGTGAGTGTTCACTCGGTTGTTTCTTGTTTTACGACACCCAGCAATATTCCAGCCATATGACGCGGCCTGTAACAGACAATCCAGTACTTGATAGTGTGAGCAACGACCCATGCCGCCGGGTACGGTGACACGCAATCAACCAAGTAACTAAGTCTAAACTGGTTACTCTTCAGTCCTCACTCTGTGAAATGATAAACCATATATGAGGCTTTAGCATGGCTTGAACAGTGACAATTAAAATGGGATAAATCAGATATAATCAGATAATTAATCACATACATAAAACATTTTTAATGAATATCGTTCAACTTCAATCTTTACTACTTTTTTATTCTTTTAGTGAAATAAAAAAAAAATCTTGAGTATACAGTGCGCACTTCCTCTCCAAAAAGATAGCTGTTTAGGGGGGATGCACATTATACACGCCATTGTGAGTTTTGATGTTTTTTCCCAACCTAAAGACAACAACCATGTCAACAAATCCGTACTGAAGTACGCAAGTTTATCATGTAATTACTCTGGTTATAAAAAGTGGTCAATGTATATCTGGACTTATGTTTGTAATATATTTTATTAGTTTTATTCAAAATTTCATTCAATATTGATTTCATTTATTTCGGCGAAATTGTTCGAAAAGTGATCGGAAGATCGAGCCAACTCATCGTTATTTACAGCAACCACGGCGGGATTATCACTATTGACGCCTTGAAACAAACTTCGGTTACCATAGAATGGATACATCAGCTGTACCAAAGTGCTACACTTATGGTTCTCATTATTTTAAAAATACATAGTAAAGCTGCCACTAAAATAACACAACATTAGAACATATTATTCCTGATAAAATAATAATGTTCTTTTTACAATAATTCCTATTATTACATCCAAAAATAATAAGTTTTATTTTGAGGTATTTTGTCACCAAATCACTTGTAGACAATGCACAGAACAGGAAATATAATTAATAACACAAATCATCATGTCTAGTGATGTTTTAACCCAAATTTCATTGTTTTATTGACCACGTTTGTTATCACCTGTTCGTTTACCTGAATTCGAGGAAGGGATACGATGTAGCTCTGTTTTTGTTAATAATACCTACTCCAAATTACTGAATCTAATAGAGGGGGTGCGCATTGATTAGGCTTGGGTGCGCACTTACTCAAGACGATACGGTAACAAACACATGAAGGTATAACTGTGATTTCAACAGAAGCACTTCTTTAAAAATATAATTTAATACATATCCCCTCCATGGTTTTATAAAGATAATTAAAACTATTTGAATACAAAATAATCACACAAATCTAAGAAGCGTGCGTGGTAGGTGACAAGTTTGGTACCAAAACCTTACATGAGGATGTTTATCGTTGCCATGTACAACATTCGTGTCTTTCCGACAAAGCGTAACGGAGGTGATTTGAATGGCATACTTCCAAATGGCACGAGTGGAAACTGCTACCTTGTCCGTCGACAAACCAGTCGGTATAGAAAACAAGCATCCGCAGGCTACACCTAACCTATGTTAATGTCGTTAAAACATGTGACGATTCTTACCTGTGTTTTTGATCATGTCATTCCTCAAACTTGAGGGCTGTAATTCTTGGGTAGGCTACAAGTTAGCTACCGATATTAATGTCATTAAATATGTGACGATTATTACCTGTGTTTACGATTATGTCAATTCCTCCAATTTAAAAGCTATTATCTTTTCCTTTTTGAGAGAGCAGGGTAGAAATTCTAAACTATTTGGCTATTCTATTTGATGCTTAATTTGTTGAATGGTTTAAGAAATCATAATTAAAGCAAATATATGAAACAATATACACTGGTTACCTTTAACTGTGAGCCAGTGCTTGAGAATGTAATAATTGTGAAGAAAATGTTGTCTTTAGAGGCGTATACACTATTATTGATGAAAATGTTAGAGACCTCGCTGTATTTGTTCAAAGTGAAAATGCTAGTGCAAAACTTGTCCACCAAAACAGCATTGATTTACGGCATGATATATGTAAAGCTAGTTGCGGGACTTGTTTGAGTTCACAGTGACATTGTCATTATAACATCGAGTAACGAGGACGGATCAAAGATCGCGTGAGTTTAACCACTTTCGGTCACGTGTAGGTCTGACAAAACGTAAATTGCTTGCCGTTTGGGAGGCTACGTTTCACCGGGAGACTGTACCCAGAGGTTGTAAGGTCTCACTGATTTCACTGAGACGAGGCGAGTGCAAAATGCGTGTTACACAATTGTAGAGCCAACGGTTTGCTCTATATAAAACGTCACTTGTTGGGCACACAAAGGATTTTAAATGGACAGCATTAAGACATGTCTCAAAAGTTCCCTCACTGAATCCTTCTCAACGTTTCACTTCACATTTACACCCTTTATACCATACTCCTTCTAAGTTATTGTTAAGTTACACACGCAGTGCGCCAATAGTGTCTGTGTCTTAGTTAATTCCTTACATATAAAACATAAAGCATTTTCGATATTGTGCGTTAGTCCTTAAAAAACTGCTATATTAAAACGTTTTTCAGACAGCTATGACGACCATACATTCTTATGGGATGTGTTAAGTGTATGGAAAATGAACCCTACTAAAATACAGACCTATAGAGGGATTACAATCATTATGTTGAATCCTATGTGGACGCGAGACATCTGACACTAGTTGATTATCAGGATTCGCCTGAACAGAAGAATTAATGCCTTTGTTATAAAAAGTGAAAGATCAGCTAGGAAAGTCGCATGTGTCGAAGTGGCGCAAAATAATTATGAATTATGTAAAGTGCGAAAATAGATCAATCACAAATAGTTGACTTATATGTTTATTAGTGATACGACATTGTTATAGAATTAAAGTCGAGGCGTATCTAATTAACGAACCCATATAAACATTTCCTAATCTTCATATCCCACGCTCTCATATAGATGGTAGTTATACGTTATAACAGTTTCACGACAACTCGCCGCAACAAGATTACAAGTCGAAACGAAACCAATCTGACAAACTAGTCCTGGTTTGAAGGCCATCAGCTGTGCTGTGATGTTATTGAAAAGGTAAACGCCCTTTCGCTGACGTGGTTGATTTATGTCATCGTATCCCAAATGCGTGGATCGATGCTCACGATGTCAATCACTTTATTGTCTGGTCCAGACTCAAATATTTTAAGACGCCGTCCTAAAGCTGGAATGTTGTTGAGCGGCGTTAAACAACAAAGAAACAAACTAATAGAAAGTGATTTTTTTTTTTTTTTAAACATGCTTTTGGTGTTGTCGGAATCGTTCAATCGATTTTTTGTGGGTGGAAGAAGGTAATGGTTTTGTCGCTTATATTTCTAGACATAACATGGAATAGTTAATTTATATAAATTCACGTTAGTCCAAGGGTGTGTTGTTAACGTCAACGGAATCTGCTTCGATAGTCGTGTTTCAAATGCTAGGTTTCACCTTGTGAGAGCATGTTTATCTTCAACGCATATATAACATGCGAGTTTGCTTACTGTGTTCTCGATGCGCATGATGTTAATCACTGGATTGTCTGGTTCGATTATTTACAGACCGCCGTCATATAGCAGGAATATTGCGGAGTGCGGCGTTAAACGGTAAACAAACAAATAAACAAACAAACAAAGATGATTGTGTTCCATCATTTGCGTGTGTAGAAATGTACTATATTAGATATACCTGATAAACAAGGAACATGTTCAATATTTGTCATGTTGAGTCTGTTACCAATTTAATTATGTATGGTTCTTTTGTGTGCATGAGTCAATACCGCTAAAGTAATCTGGCAGCATTTTGCCATGCTTATTACATGGCGTATGGAGTATGGCTCACATTTAACAGAGTATGAATCGGAACATATGTTAGGATTGGCGAAAAGCAAACAAAGGAATTCGCTTAAAAGTTTAACTTAAGCTTCATTTATATCTATGATGAGATATCGATCAATAATAGTCAAATAGCCAATTTCCTGCCACTACATTTACCCACTTAAACAAGATATAATAGCTCCTCGCAAGAAGCAATAACGAACCATAGATGTCTGGCTGCGGTCTTTGAAGAATGACCTCCTGAACAGTCTTCAACAGGTTGCAGATTAATAAACGTAGCTGTGAATTAATATTTAACTTCTTGATATTTCAGTACAACTCAGTCTGCACGAAAGAAGCATATCATTTTTTACTACAATGCATGACATATCTCATTTGTTTTCAGTACAAAAGGGGCTTGATTATGTTTTTTGGAAAAAAATCCCAATCGCAAACACATGCTTCCTAAGGGTTATTTAGAAAAAAGCTGAAAACAGTCATGTGAATGTATCAAAAATTAGCTCACCTACTATTTTATAATTGATGTTTCTTAGGTCATTGTATTTTGAAATTTTCTGAAATTGCATTTCCTAGCTCTATAAACATCATCTCCTAAGCAACCGCTTGAACTGCAAAGCTGAAACTTCACTGGCGATACTTGCTCCCGCAAATGATGATACCTCAATATGTTGAAGGAAAGGCTACTCGGCCATTTGGTAGTAGTGTGGTATTTGTTCAGTTTGTTGGACCCCAATATCATTCACTATAAATTACAGGCCTCCGTCATATAACTTGACTATTTATTGGTGGGTGCAGCGTTAAGCAAACTTAAACTCACCAGGCGACTACGTGCAGGAATGCTGATCAACGCTTGCACTGATAAGCGCTGTACTATCCGAGGGGACGACGCGACCATACCTACATATAATTGATGCAACATACACACATGACATTAATGAACAATCACCAAACAAAAAAGTGCACCATAAATAAGTAATTCGGAGTAAATCGCTTGACAACCAGAAAGTGGCGCAGTGTGTAAGCGTCGCTGATCTTGGTAACATGTAAAAGAGCAATCGTTAAACGAAGTAAGATTTGAAACGTATCAAATACTTCTAGCTATCGTGATACAAATTTCCATCTGTGAGCATAGTGTTTATATTTATAGGAATGTTCTATATATAAGTAAATACCACTTTATAATGTCACTGATCGTCGTATTTAAAGCAGACACGTTGGTTAAAGTAGACCTCTTCTCCCTATACTCTCAACAGTCACACAGGTGTTCGGTCCGACTTGGCCCGGGCTGTCAAAATCAACTTTAAACTCACATATGTATCATCAAATGGGTTCAGGTCTATTCACTAGCATAATATCTACCTAAATACCACTTTATAGTGTCTCAGATCACTGTACTTAAAGAAACCAAGGTGCTCAAAGTCAAGCATTTTTACTGTATTTTCTTTAGAAAATCTATGTCAGAAGGGTTCGGTCCGACTTGGCCCGGGCGATCAAAATCAACTTAAACCTCACAGATGTATCATCAAATGGATTCACATCTTTAGATTAGTATTATATCTACCTAAATACCACTTTATTATGTCACGGTACATCGTATTTAAAGAAAACAAGGGGCTCAAAGTGAAGCATTTTTACTGTATTTTCTTAAGAAAATCTCTGTCAGAAGTGTTCGGTCCGACTTGGCCCGGGCTGTCAAAATCAACTTAAACCTCACAGATCTATCTTTAAATGTGTTTACACCTATAGACTAGTGTTCTATCTACCTAAATACCACTTTATAGTGTCTCAGAACGCTGTGCTTAAAGAAAACAAGGGGCTCAAAGTGAAGCCCTTTTCCCTCTACATTCTCAACATAGTCTCTATCAGAAGTGTTTTGCTTGTGTTGGGTCCGACTTGGCCCGGGCGGTCAAAATCAACTTTAAACACACAGATGTATCTTCAAATGGATTCACATCTTTAGATTAGTATTATATCTACCTAAATACCACTTTATTATGTCCCGGTACATCGTATTTAAAGAAAACTAAGGTGCTCAAAGTCAAGCATTTTTACTGTATTTTCTTAAGAAATTCTATGTCAGAAGTGTTCGGTCCGACTTGGCCCGGACGGTCAAAATCAACTTAAACCTCACATATGTATCATCAAATGGATTCACATCTTTAGATTAGTATTATATCTACCTAAATACCACTTTATTATGTCACGGTACATCGTATTTAAAAAAAACAAGGTACTCAAAGTGAAGCATTTTTACTGTATTTTCTTAAGAAAATCTCTGTCGGAAGTGTTCGGTCCGACTTGGCCCGGTCTGTCAAAATCAACTTAAACCTCACAGATCTATCTTTAAATGTGTTTACACCTATAGACTAGTGTTCTATCTACCTATATACCACTTTATAGTGTCTCAGAACGCTGTCCTTTAAGAAAACAAGGGGCTCAAAGTGAAGCCCTTTTCCCTCTACATTCTCAACATAGTCTCTATCGGAAGTGTTTGTCTTGTGTTGGGTCCGACTTGGCCCGGGTGGTCAAAATCAACTTAAAACACACAGATGTATCTTCAAATGGATTCACATCTTTAGATTAGTATTATATCTACCTAAATACCACTTTATTATGTCACGGTACATCGTATTTAAAGAAAACAAGGTGCTCAAAGTGAAGCATTTTTACTGTATTTTCTTAAGAAATTTTATGTCAGAAGTGTTCGCGTATTTTTGTGCTTAAGTCACTTGGACATTGTTTAGCTTCATAAACTGTTCATAAGAAACATGTCAGACAGCTTTGACATCATTGATGACTTAGTCTTATGAGATGTGTAAACTTTAGGGGAAATGAGCTCAAGTAAATACAGAAACAGAGGGTCTAAAATTGCCACAGTGTTAGGCCCGAAAGTCTATTTCGGATTTAAATTGTGATTAAGGAAGTAGAGGGTAGAGAGAGAACAAGAAAACAAATCTTAACAAAACATACCTGCAAAACAAGTGCTAGTTCGTTCGTATCCGTAATCCGTCACAAACTGTGATGAACGCATAGTGTGTTCGATGAAGGAAATACAGCCCTTCGGATCTTTGTTTGCTGAATACACCTTGACCTATAATTTATAAGATATTGAAGCTACAAGGCCGCCCATAGTTTCGAGGAAATGTCCTGGCTACACTTCAAGGTTTCGTGCTCAACAAATATATATGAATGTATATGATGTCTCATCTTGATGTACTTTAATAATGCAATTCGACAAAGAACATGTACACATGCCTCGACAGCATTTTTGGCAGTCAAGTACAAGTACAGGTAAACATGGCTATTAATGCGCATGTGTGTCAGGTTGCCCTTACCTCGCCGTCACATCTGTACACAAAGCAAGTGCATAGTCTAAACTAGGCTACATTTGCATTTCTTTAGCCGTTTACAGATGCCTCGACAACATTTTTCACACATGAATGACTTCAACCTTGGCTCTCAACAAGTACAGGTAAACATTAATGCTCATGTGTGTCAGGTTGCCCCAACCTCGCCGTCGTATCTGTACACAAAACAAGTGCATAATTTAAAATAGGCTACATATGCATTTATTCAGCCGTTTCAATAATGCAGTGCGCTGTCACAGCATGCTGCGTAGGTCTGTACAGCACAATGTATGTTATTAGTAATTGGTCGATCCTTCATAAATCATATTTTTGCCATTCATTTCACACATGCCTCGGTAGAATTGAGGTAGGGGAAGGACTTCTGGTCAGATAACAAGGTATTCAGATATCCAGAAACTCGTTTATCCGGACAACATTTTAGAAAAAGCAATTGTCCGGATAAGCGAGGTTCGACTGTATAGCGCGTGATACATGACAAAACAGATGGGTTAGAACCTGATTCGCACTTGCTGAAGGGATGCCAATGGACCCTGATCATAATACATTGGTTGCTTATTATTATTATTATTAAACATATTGTATTGTCCAAAAAGACAAAGGGATTGGGCAAAAGTTCAGCACTTATTCCCACCTTCTCCCTATATACAGTTATACATAATATTGCATAATGAAAATTAACAATTTACAGTTGAAGCATGAATGAATGGTTTTGAAATAGCATGTCGCAGAAATAACTCCTGTTGGACCCTTAGACTTGCAAGAATACTTTAATCATTGGCCGAAACATGCACCATTTGTTTTTCTTGCTTTGTCAGACAAAACCCATACTGTTGAATTTCTCAAAAGCTTTAAAAGGGTTAAAGCTATTTTTGGAAGTATAAATGGGTTGATTGGTGACTACCACAGAAGTAGCAAAGGGAGTTATGTCCGATGAAATTCTCTGTTTTGACTTGTGCTAATCGGGTTTAACAACTAACTTGCCTTTGCGTGTGTTTGTTCCACCGGTGGTGCAGGATACGCTCACCTCTATGCAAACACCTGTTATCCTCACTGTTTGATAGTAGTTTATACACGTAAGTATGTATAAGTTGTATGTCATCTTAATATATCACTTGTGTTATCCCTCTTTTGGGGTGTACTACAAACATAAATCAAAGTTTCTTTTGAGCTATCATGAATATCATAAAATACTTAGCAAGTCTATGCTTATCATTCCCTCTACTCCTACCAAAGGCTCTAATTGTGGCTAATTGTTACATATTCTTCACGAATACTGTAAATCATGAAACGTGTAACCAAATTAATGCGAGTTAAGACCGCTAGACTAACATCTAGTTTCTGAAATGAACATATTTTACAAAAATAAAAACAATTGTTTGATTATATTGATAAAATATATAACTGCAGTAATCTAGTCTTGCCAAATATGATTGACTTGCATCGGCTGTATTGGATATATTTGTTTCAGGAACTGTATGACAGGCCTAAAATGCGTCACGAAAGTAATGTGATTAACTTCGCTTTTGACCTGTAAAAGCTAACCAGCAAACGAAAACACGGCCTTGTTTACAATGAACGCATGTCTAAACAAACATCCTTTTTTATATAATTAAGTAGAAGTATCACGATGGACAGTGCATACAACTGTTTGGCAAACAATATCAAGCAATATTTTAGATTCAGAATCAACATACCATGACAAAACCGAAACATATATATTAAATTGTATATATTCATATTTGCCGCTCTTCACGATAAATTTATTTTACCGTCACTGTTTAAAACTACTCTGAACTACTTGTATGTATAGATCATCTTATTTGTAAACAGTAGGCGGACGTATTATATATCTAACAGTTACAAAAGTCTGCTGAAATCTTCTATTTCTTTATTATGTAAAATGCTGTCAACATGAATAAATGCCAACACTCCAAATAAAGTTGTCATAATGAACATAGTTTTAAAGTATATTTGTCACATGCAATAATACTGTCCGGTATTATTAGTAATATTTTCAATATTAATCACATATTGTGAGAATCCAGTAAAAAGGAACTGAGTAAAGCAGGGGTAAAATCTATCCATATATACAAAATTGTATATTTTTGGATATACCATATATACAAAATTGTATATTTTTTGATAAACCATATATACAAATTGTATATTTTGTATATATTGGAATTTTCCCTTGTGATACTTTCACTGGCCACTGACAAAGATTAGCAGTATTAGAATAAGAAAATAAATTAAATCCAGTATGACGTGATGATGTGTAAGCATACAGAAAACTAAGAGAGCCCAACTTACTTCAGTTTCTGTACCGTACTTGCACTTACCTCCTTTTGCATCCTGCGTATCATTCAACCTGTCGGATCGACTTGTCCCGGGTGGTTAATAATCTTAAACATCACGACTGTAAAACAAAGTTGCTTACTTACTTACTTACTTACTTTGGAAATTTAACGTGTGCTTTCCGACTGATGCGTATTTCGCACACGGGCCCGGCCAGCCCAATTAATGTGTTTCCGAAAGGTGCGAAAGTGGTGTGTGCAACCCAAGAGGGGGCTTTAGGGGTTGCTTATATAAAAAAAGTTGCTAGATATATAGAGAACTTTATTTTATGGCGTCTTTAACCATCACGACAATAATACTGAGTGGTCCAAGTCAGGTTCAGGAGAAGTGTGTTTTCACAGAACGAGTTGCTCGGAGATGCAGCACGTAATCTCGCGGTATGGCAGATTACATCTGTCTCAGATAATCCTGTTTTCCTAAACACACTCATAGATAATAGAAGCATTAAGCAGGGTTGAGGGAGAGGTTTATCCTGAAATGCAAAGTGTCTCACCTTACCTTCTCCAAGTGTTACCCTGTGAGTATGATCCTTGAAAAAAACCACGACGGATTACGTAAAAGCAAGGAATTTTCCGACCAGACACATACCATGAAAAAAGGGCTTCACTTTAAAGAGTATACTTCACTCCAACACATTTGGTGAAATTTTCTTGAGAAGATACAGTGAAAGTGCTCGACTTTAACAGACAAGTTTTCTTTGAGTTATCGTGCAACATTATTAAGTGTTATATAGGTAGATATAATACTAGTCATGTTGAGAATGTAGAGGAAAAAGGGCTTCACATTGAACTCATGGTTTTCTTTAAATCCGATAAACTGTGACATTATAAAGTGGTACATAGGTAGATATAACACTAACCTATAGATGTAAACACATTTTAAGATAGATCTGTGTGTTTAAAGTTGATTTTGACAGCCTGGGCCAAGTCGGACCCAACACTTCTGACATAGATTTTCTTAAGAAAATACAGTAGAAATACTTCACTTTGAGCCCCTTGTTATCTTTAAATACAATGTACCGTGACATTATAAAGTGGTATATAGGTAGATATAACACCAATCTATAGATGTAAAAACATTTGAAGATACATCTGGTGTGTTTAAAGTTGATTTTGACCGCCCGGGCCAAGTCGGACCCAACACAAGACAAACACTTCTGATAGAGACTATGTTGAGAATGTAAAGGGAAAAATGGCTTCATTTTGAACCCTTGTTTTCTTTAAATGCGATAAACTGTTACATTATAAAGTGGTATATAGGTAGATATAACACTAATCCTAAGATGTAAACACATTTGAAGATACGTCTGTGTGTTTAAAATTGATTCTGACCGCCCGGGCCAAGTCGGACCCAACACAAGCAAAACACTTCTGATAGAGACTATTTTGAGTATGTAGAGGGAAAAGGGCTTCACTTTGAGCACCTTGTTTTCTTTAATAACAGCAATCTGAGACACTATAAAGTTGTATTTAGGTGGATATAACATAATCTATAGCTGTGAATCCATTTGATGATACATCTGTGAGGTTTCAGTTGATTTGACAGCCCGGGCCAAGTCGGACCGAACACTTCTGACATAGATTTTCTTGAGAAAATACAGTAAAAATACTTCACTTTGAGCCCCTTGGTTTCTTTAAATACGATGTACCGTGACATTATAAAGTTGTATATAGGTAGATATAACACTAATCTATAGATGTAAACACATTTGAAGATACATATGTGTGTTTAAAATTGATTTTGATCGCCCGGGCCAAGTCGGACCCAACACAAGCAAAACACTTCTGATAGAGACTATGTTGAGAATGTAGAGGGAAAAGGGCTTCACTTTGAGCACCTTGTTTTCTTTAATTACAGCGATCTGAGACACTATAAAGTGGTATATAGGTGGATATAATACTAATCTATAGATTTGAATCCATTTCATGATACATCTGTGAGGTTTAAGATGATTTTGACAGACCGGGCCAAGTCGGACCGAACACTTCTGACAGATTTTCTTAAGAAAATACAGTAAAAATGCTTCACTTTGAGCACCTTGTTTTCTTTAAATACGATGTACCGTGACATTATAAAGTGGTATATAGGTAGCCATAACACTAATTTGTAGATGTAAACACATTTGAAGATACGTCTGTGTGTTTAAAGTTGGTTTTGATCGCCCGGGCCAAGTCGGACCCAACACAAGCCAAACACTTCTGATAGAGAGAATGTAGAGGGAAAAGGGCTTGACTTTTGAACACCGTGTTTGCTACTGCAATATGAGACACTAAAGTGTTATAAAGGTAGATATGATATTATAATTAGTCTATAGATGTAAAGTATGTGCGCTTTGACAGTTATTAACACGTGTCGTGTCAGTCCTATGACATTCGCGAATATCCACTTGCAGAAAACATCCTATGTTGGTTTAACATGAATTAGTAAAGGTTAATTTGGTATGCCAAACACGTTAATTAATGAAAGAAGATTAGTCAAAACACTGTCATTTCGAATTGCTGCCCAGGACATCACACCCCTGCACGCTTAGGTGGGTGAGAAACCTTCTCATCAAAGTAAAGACACAGTCAAGACACTGACTTTTCGGTATGAACTCTCGGTATGTAGCTATAATTATCAGTTTATTACATTGTTGAAGATACATTTTGATTCAAACTCAATTAAATGAGCAAAACTATCCGTTTCTGGACATTTGAGATCTGCCTAGATATGCACGTTTCGTTTTTTTATTCTGCAATCCATTTTTAGTATTACCCTCTG